CCTCTATACCCTGTACACCTGACAGAGACAGGCATAGAGGAGGGCCAGAAGTGGAGGGACAAATCAGGGAAGACTTAAAACAGGGGACCCCTCCAAGTACGCTCTAGGTATTTCTGGAAGTCCTAAATGATGCCTCAGACTTGCCCACAGATTTCATAGCAGCTGCAGTCGCCATGGCATAGCCACACAGTCCTCCTTCTCTTGCTCTCCTGCCACCTCCCATATGAGAATGTTGCGCTTCCAGAAAGTCCCCTGACCCTCCAGTCCTGAGGCACCTGCTAGGGTGGTGGGGGGGACGGGAAGAAAGGCCTCTTCTCTTGCTCCGTGTTGTTCTGTTGCCTAAGCTAAGGCCACCAAGTGCAGTTGTGCACTTTGTGCACTGCACAAGAGTGTTGGCATCAGGGGCAGGTGGGAGCTGAATTTCAGCCTGGGATCTGCCCTCTGAGCCAAGTTCTTGCAGTTCTTCAGCTTCCAGGGCCTTGAAGAAAGGGGTCCTTCAAAAAGGGCCCAGAGAGCATACTTCCTAGAAGTTCTTCCTCCCAGAGGGGCACCTTTCTCTGATTTGCACCAAGGCTCCTAAGATTCCCCATTGACCCTGACTTGGGTCCCCAGGTACTCCTGCTTGTGCCCACGGTCTCCCATGTCCCCCAAATTGTTCCCCTAGAGAGCCTTTGCTATACTCTAAACTCCAGAGGGCATTGTCTATGCTGACCTTACTTACTTATGGAACTCTGAGCAACACAGGGTTGCTCCAGGTCTTCTGGAGCTATTGCTAGAGGCTGCTCTTCCGAGGCTCATCATCTCGGGGCCTGCCTGCCACCCCCTGCCCGAGGAAGACAAGGCAGGCTTTGGGGACCTCAGGCCTCTCTGCTCCAGGCTACGATGGCTTCCCCCACCTCATACGTCATGGTGGTCTGGGGCTGCGTTTAGACCGTCTGGGGCTTCCTTCCCTCCTTCCCACTACTGACTACCTGGAGCGAGCAGTCAGAATAAGCTAAAAGGCAGTGGACATGGGAAAGCAACTTGCCCCTGTGTCCAGCCAGCCACCAGGGCTTCCTCCTCCATCTGACTTCATGGCCCAGGGCCCACGAGTGTCTGGTGACAAGGAGGCCTGGAGCACAGCAGCCCCTGTCATCTGTCAGAACGAACCTGCCAGCAGAGGTTGTGTGTCCACATTGCCACTGGTCCCCAGAAGAGCAGTGAGAGCTGTCCACGCTGCCAGGCACGCCTTCGTGAAACCAACCGAGCAGGTGGCTGAGCAGAACTGTTCTGGGCATAGATTTTTCTTTCCATTTGGAGATTTGCTCTAATTTTTTCCCTCTTTTCATAGCTGAGACTGAGATGGGCATTGCCTGCCTAACGTTCTTCACCCCCTGTGGATAAGTATGTTTAAGGCAGTTTGCAGAAGGGGCCGAGTACTTTATGGCTGAGGGGAGAACAGGAAAGACATTAACATCAGAATGAACATGCTTAAGACTTGGAGAGAAAAAGTGAAGTAGCTGTTTATCTGGTGTTGATGAATCAATAGAGATTTTTATTGGAGGTGACATATCAGAAAACAGAATCATTAAGCCCTTCAGAACCATCTAGTTTCTTTGGCATCATAGAGTACACAGAAGGGAGGTACCTGGGGCATAATCAAATGAAACGTCCCTCCGTGTAGGAAATGGCTGTGTAGCATTCTGACTGGGGATCCTCCAAGCTTTGCTTGAATGTGTGGAGTGGCGAGGAGCTCACTACCTAGCAGACAGCATATTTCATTTGGGTGGAAAGGGCCACTGAGGCCATGAACTCAGCCCCTTTTGCTATTGAATGATCTAGTTCCCTCTATGGTCATCCTTTCATGTGTTTTCTCAGGCTCAACTTGCACATTTCTGGTAACAAAAAGTTCACTACCTCCTAAGCTGGCCCATCCAGCCTGATCACCCCCTCTGTGCTGGGCTCCAGAGACTTAAAGGTGGGCAAAGTAGGCCCTGCCTCTCAGGAGCTCCGTCTCATGGGAGAGACAGACAGGTCATCAGACAAACGTCATCTCCATGTGCCTGGCAGAGCAGAAACATGCACGAGGGCAGGAGTTGTGAGGAAGAAACAGTTCCACCTCTCTCAAGGTCTAGGTGGGCTTCTCAGAGGAGGTGGCCCATGCATTTGGATTCCAGAGAACAAATGAGAATTTGTGAAGGAGCCAGGACAAGGCGTGACATTCTGGACAGAGGAAATGGCTCGTGCAAGGCCCGGCAGCATGAGCCAGCGTGGTGTGAGGGGAAGGGCCAAGCAGTGTGGTGCTGCTTGAGGAGTGGCGGAGTGGGGGTGGCTGCACCTGCTAAGAATTTAGAGTTTATCCGGAGGGCTCTGTGGGGCAGCAACGGGTTTAAACCCCAGGACTTACGTGGTACTGACACTTAATACTAGGACTGGCCCTGGGGCCCGGCTTAGTGGGTGTGTCTGGGGGTTGTACGCAGAACTTTCCCATGGACGGGGCGGCTGGTCACTCCATTACACCAGACAGCAGTGGGGTGCTGTGTCGAGGGCCCCCAAGACGGCCCCCAGGTTCAGTGACCCACGGGGATTCACAGGGCTCAGTGCACAGTCATACAACTATGGCTTATCACAGCGAAAGGACACGAAACAACATCAGCAAAAGCGAAAGGCACGCAGGGCAAAGTCCAGAGGACAGCAGGTTCAAGCTCCCGAGAGTCCTCTCCCAGTGCAGTCACGCAGTGACAACGGGTGAAATGCTGTCCAGGGAAGTGCGTTAGAGACTCAGTGGCCAGGGTTTTTATTGGGAGCTGCCATGGCAGCACCCACTGCCTACTACATCCCAACACGCCAGACTCCCAGAAGGAGAGAGCAGGTGGTCAGCAAGAACCACATTGTTGGCACAAACGGTCAGGCACAGGGAGCCGCTCTCATCGCTGAGGGAATGGTGGGAATCCCCCCAAATCCAAGTTCCCGGTTGCCGGCCAAGGGCCTACCCTGCAATCACGCCTTTCTGAGGACGCAGTCTCGGGCCTGCCACGTTAGCTCTTGTCTGCACAGGCCTCCCGGCTATTCTTTGCTTTAGTTTATGGCAACATACTGCAGTTTCCAGATGCCAGGTTAAATTTGTATTATTGAATTTCAACTAATTCATCTAATTTATGTGGTTGAGTCGTAATGAAGTTAGCCCTAACAAAATAGACAAGTGGCCTGAAAGTGATGGCTTCCAAGAAAATATAAGTCAAAGCAAATATTAGTAATGCTAAGCACACTGGAGTGACACATGTCCTCAAAATAAGAGATCTTTGTCAGCCACGTGGTGAGGCAAAAATAATATTTTATCTTTGTTCATCCTTTTAAGAGTGTTCCTGTTCTGTACATGTTCACATTTAAAATTGTTTTTCTGGTCAGAGAACCTGACCAAAAACACTTGGAGACCACTGGTTTGAACAGTCATGTCAACAAATTAACTTTACAAGTCTGTCTCGAACCCCAGAAGAGTGTAGCGAGGCTGGTCAGCCACTCCCCCGGGTGTGTCCTTGTCCCTTGACGGCTGGCTCCTGGGTATACGTGAATCTGATCAGGGTTAAGGAGACTGTTTGAGGAGCAGCAGCACAGTGTGAGCCCCAGGCCCAGCCCGGAGCTGTGTGGGGTGGTAGAGGGAAATCTCTCCCACACTCTGGGCCTTGTGTGGGGTGGTAGAGGGAAATCTCTCCCACACTCTGGGCCTCCGTTTCTCCATCTGTAAAGTGATTTCCTCACTCGACTGACAGCTCTGAAAGATCACCTTGGTTTTTGTTGTTGTTGCTGTTTGTTTTTAGTATTATAAACTTTGCCTCTGGTCTAATAATACTCGTGGAATGAGCAGATGAACAAATGAATGAATGAACCAACAAATGAATGAGTGATAGGATCTGTAAGGCGCCAGGCAACTCTGACAGCTGATGAATGTATGATCTGGTCTTTAAACGCACTCCAGTCTGAGTTCCCAGTAACTGGCTCCTTCCCCTCCCTTTTCTGTTGACTTTGCTTGTATCCTTTTACTAGAATACAGCTAATAACGTGGCTACACTGTGTCCTTTGTAAGCCCCGTGCTTCATTCTTGCCCATCTACTTACCCCTTGTTCTTGAAATTAAGAAAAAGAAAATAGAAGGCTAATCCCCACCTGTGCCATCGTCAGCGTTCACACCTCACAGGGGGTGAACAAGTGTCGTGATGCTGTTGTCCTTCCTTGACTCAGGGGGTCGGCCTTGCCATCTACCCAGCCAGTTCCTATTTTTACAAATAAAACGGCAAGGGGAAATGTTCTGTTTCTGAAAAGCTGGAGAGCCAAGTGGAGGGAAAGGCAGGGGCAGAATAAATCCGTTAAGGGAATGGGCTGGGAGCATTTCTGGAAACTTCCTCCACGAGCTGATGGCAGCCCAGGGCTAGAAGGGGCCTGCTGGGGCCAGACACCTGCCGTGCCCCAGTGCTCTGCACACAGAGGGCCGGGCCTGTCTTTCTCCTGCCACAGCCACCTGCCTGCTTGTGTTCAGCTGAGGCAGGCTGAGACCTGTCAAGGGAAACTTGGTTGAACAGAACTGAGGGAGAACAGATGAAAGACCAAAGAGCAGAACCACAGCTCACGAGCATGTGACTTTTTCGTCCCAGCGAGCTGGGAGGGCCCCAGAACTCGGTGGTGCACAGCCCAGGGCTGGGCCACCGTGTGGCGTCCAACCTGGAGGTGTGCGCAGGGGCCCTGCGTGCCTCGCTCCGACTGGCCGTCTCGGGGCTGTGGGACTACGGAAGGCAGGATTTGACTCTCAAACTCCCCTGTGCCCAGTGCCCTGGGCCCGCCAAGGGGCTGACAGAGCAAACGTCTGGTGAAGGGGAATTAGATTGAAGAATGCCAGTGACATTCAGCGACAGGCAGAGAAGAGTGCGTGTCCCCATCATCTAGATTCCCCTGCTGGGGTGTCTCACACCTGTCACAGTTCATGTACCTATGGGGGGGTTAACGCCTCTGTTTTCTCGTGGCCTGTAGGTCCGGACCTGGATTCTCACCGTGGGCTACACCACCGCCTTTGGGGCAATGTTTGCAAAGACCTGGAGGGTCCACGCCATCTTTAAGAATGTGAAAATGAAGAAAAAGGTAATCACTCTCCTTCTGTTTCAGAGTGTGATGATGTTCACTGAGCATTTATTGAGCAAATATATGCCAGACACTGAGCTATTTGCTGGGCATTCGATGAAACACAGTCCCCACCTCCTGCTGGGGAAATCAGACAGTTAACAAAGCATTTATGACACACGGTGTCAGGACTGGTTGGGGACATACCGGAGGTGCTAGGATATGAAGCACTCAGGGAAGGCTTCATGGAGGAAGGGCCACCCATGCAGGGACCGAAGAGGGAGTGGAAGTTAGGCAGGCAGGATGGGGACGCTGCGAACCTTGTGGAAGGGTCCGTGTGCACAGAAGCCTGAGGATTGGAGCAGGGTGGTCACAGGCTGACAGGGCTGGGTGTGGCCACAGCATGGGGTTCATGGGGACAGGTGCAAGAAGAGGCTGAAAGGGAATGCAGGAGCGACAGGAAGGAATCTGAACATCAATTGTGGGCAATGGGGAGCCCTTAAAATAGGGGAGTGAAATGGGGCCAGGAGCTAATTTAATGATTCCACTTTCAAAGAGGCCCTTAGCGGACAGGGGCTCTACCTCCACATGGAGGAAAGCACCTGCCCCCTGCGACATGGGGTGTAGCCGCCGTGTTGACTGAGCTGACTCAGGACACAGTCACGGAAGAACTTTGGCCCCCACTGTTCCACTTCACTCTGCAATAGTGCCAGTTCTTCCCTGCTCCGGGATAAAATTCAGGGCAAGGCTTGTGACTTTGAAGATGCTCTGGTCAGTAACTGACATGTGCAGTCCATAGTAATATTCCAGACTTCCAACTGCACTCAGTGGCACAGTTCCTTCCTCTCCAGCCCAGGCCTGGGGCAGGCCAGCCACCCACCTTGGGACAGGGGCACAGGCTGGCGACCTCTCCCCTTGGCCAGCCTGAGTCCTTTCCCCATCATCCTGTTCACCAGCGTGTCGACCCCACCAGACTTGGAGTAGGGCAGGAAAGACCTTACTTGCTGGGGGCTGCCACTGGGCTTGCTGGGCCTGGCAGGGGTTTAAGTGGGTCTTTTAGACTCTCATGGGGTGCTTCTGTGGGTCCCCCATTACTGGGACTTTCTTTCCTGCAGTGCCCTTGACACAGGTGAAATACTCCCCCAATTGGCCATTCGTGGCTTCTTCCTCCACCCCTAAGTATCCCTCAGTTCCCCACCCCTGGGTGACCCCACCCCTCCAGATCGTGGAGGCTCTTGGGCAGGGCTATGCCAGCTCTCCTTCACCCATGGCCCATGTCTGGGGCACAGGAAGTGCCTCTGCATCCTTTGCACCTACAGACTTGAGAACTGAAGGCTTGTCCCACAGTAGCAGCACTCCTCTTTTGATCCATCCTCAGAGCAGCTGGCCAGTCCATCCGCCCTTTAGGTTTCCCAGGCAGGAGTCAAACACCAGTCCGCAGAGACCCCTATCAAGCCATCCAGTGGACACCAAGGCCTCTCCCTGGGTTCGAGGTCAAGGAGGAAGCATTCGCTCCATCTCCACCTCCCACCCATTCTTCTCACCTGGGGGAGGGATCTCATAGCATGTGACACCTCCTTCTAAAACTCTTCTCAGTTCAGCCCACCCCCAGCCCCAGTACATTTTTTAGAGCCCTGATGAGGGCACAGCCTGTTTACAGACACCCCTCCTGCAGATTCCGCACTGTGGGCTCATCCCTCTTTGGAACGTGGAGGCTGTTCTGCTTCTTCCCTGGAACTTTCCTTTTGCCGCCTGGTTACCTGGTGCCTGAAGCAGGCAGCAAGCCTGTCCGAGGCCATGGGGCCAGCAGGCAAAACAGAAGCCTGGGGTTCTAGCCCCTGCTTGGCCACTGACCTGCCATGTGACCCTAGACAAGGCTTTTTTCTGGGGCTCTGCTTCTTCATCTTTCCTTATAGAATGGGAACATAGTGACGTGGTATTGTCTCCTGAGTTGTGAGCCTGTGGGCTCCTGCTTGGCGCCCTGATGGCTCCTGTAACCCCTCCACCCCCTCCCCCATCCCCTCGCTGCCAGGAGCTGCCGCCCCTGCGCTCTCAGATGAGGAGGGGTGTGTCCTGCATTCTCTGCTCCCTGCCCCCACGAGGAAGCACCTGGGGAAAACCGCAGGCTGCACTTAGAGGGAGGAAAGCACAGGGCTCTGCCACCCTCCCTGTGCTCGCCTGGGGGCCCTCTCGACACTGCTTTCCTGTGAGGCCGCCCGGTTCTCAGTCCTTGCTGCATATTACAATCCCATGGGAGCCTTTGAAAACTACAAAAAGTAGCCCAGCTCCGGCCAGTTGAAACCAAATCTCTGAGGCCCAGAGCTGAACATCAGTAGCTGTAGACATTCCCAGGTGCTGTTACCGTACAGCCAGAGTTGAAGGCCTCTGGTCTGGCAAGATCAGGGCCTGAGCAGCAGCCTGGGATCTGCTAGGAATGCAAGTTCTCGGGCCCCACCCTGGCCCTCCTGAGCCAGAACCCTGGGGTGCTGAAGCAAGCCGAGATCGAGAGGCACTGGTCGGGGCGACTTCTGCGGCCCTCTTGCCCTGCGGCTCTGGTTAAAAAAATGCTCTGCATTTATGACAACTGCATCCTGGTCTAGAGGAATCTCAGTGTGGATTCCTTCATGTTAATATGTGATTCATCCACATTGTCATCTGTATGAACCAGACTTTATGTTTTGCTCTTCGTGTACTGCTGAGCAAGAACACTCCCATTGTCTGGCAACAATCGACACCTGTCAGGGGAAACTTCAGGACTTTGTGGGGTGTGATGTTGTCTCCAGAGACGCTGCACTGCCTGACGGGGGAACTGAGCCACCTGGAGGGTCTGGGCAAGTGCCGAGTGAGCGCTCAGGCTTGGGGTGGCCCCAGGGATCTGGGGAAAGGGCTTGTCTGAGACACAAGCCCCACCCCCCTTTTTTTACCTTCCTTTGTCTTTTTTTTTTTTTAGAGACAAGGTCTTACTCTATTGCCAACACTAAAATACAGTGTCATGATCATAGCTCACTATAACCTCCAACTCCTAGGCTCAAACTATCCTCCTGCCTCAGCTTCCTGTGTAGCTGGGACTACACAGGCGTGTGCCACCACATCTGGCTAATTTTTCTTAATTTTTGTAGAGATGGGGTCTACTATGTTGCTCAGGCTGGTCTTGAACTCCTGGCCTCAAGTGATCCTCCTGCTTCAGCCTCCTAAAGTACTGGGATTATAGGCATGAGCCACTGTGCCCAGCCTTTTTTTTTACCTTTTTCTTTTAAAAAAATTTTTTCTAATTTGTTTTTTAACTTTTTTTACATTATTTATTTTTTACATTCAAAAACTTGTTTTTAGCTTTTATAAACTGTTTTCCTACTTTTTTTAAGGGTGAGGATGTCAGGGGGGATAAAACAGGGTATGCAGTTAGAAGACTAGAAGGTAGAGGAGGCGGACATCAGGGGATGGCAATTACGTCATCAGGGGTCTAGACCAGAGGAGGACACTGGGTTGGGGAGGAGGGTGTTAGGATCAGAGAGGGGTAACATCAAGGACAGTGAAGGTGACACAGGGACAGAAAGGGGGATGAGAGCGAGAAGGTGAGAGGTTCATGGTAGGATCACTGTCACCTCCATTCAATTAATGTCACTCACGTGTCCATGTAAATATGATTAAAACAGTAAAGTATATGTTATGTGTATTTTACCACAATAACACAAAACAACAACATTAAGAACAATCTTGGTTGTATAAAACCCTGGAATCATAAAGAAGAACCCAGTTTTGAACTGCAATGGCCACAACCCTTTCGAAACCATCTGGGTCCCTGATTGAGTTTTTGCTCTGGGTAAGGGACAAATTTCCCTTCTCCAACCTACCCTGTCTAATTTGGCTGATAAATGGTGCTTAGCCACAGCGCCCCAAATCTCCTGGAATAACTAGAAAGCCTAGAGCAACCCCAAAGAGTGTCTAATACCAGAATGGTGTGTTCTTCCAGCCTTCATCATTGTCAAAACAAAATTAGTACCAAATCTTGTACTCAGAGCCTTTGGCAGTTCATATTGTTCATTTGTATTGGGCAACCATCACCACCATCCATCTCCACATGTTTTCATCTTCCCAAAGTGTTTAACCGCCCATTAAACACTAATTCTCCATCTCCCTTCCCTCCCCCCAGCCCTGGCCACTGTGATTCTTCTTTCTGTCTCTATGATTTGACTCCTCTAGGAACCTCATTTAAGTTGAACCATACAATATTTGACCTTTTGTAACTGACTTGTTTTATTTGGATTCTTTTAAAGATGTTTCAGGCTGGTGCAGTGGTTCATGCCTATAATCGCAGCTCTTTGGAAGGCCAAGTTGGGACAACTGTTTGAGCCTAGGAGTTCAAGACCAGCCTGGGCAACATAGCAAGACCCCATCTCTAAAAAAAATTTTTTTTAATTAACTGGGCATGATGGCACATGCCTGTAGTCCTAGCTACTTGGGAGGCTGAGGCAGAAGGACCCCTTGAGCCAGGAGTTCAAGGTTACAGTGAGCAGTGATCACACCACTGCATTCCAGCCTGGGTGACAGAAGAGAACCTTTCTCTAAAAAAAAAAAAAAAAACAGGAAGATGAAGTTTGGACTATTTTTAGTGGGCTCCTTAATTTTTTTTTTTTTTTACTGACACATATACTGGATTTACATAAATTTGCAGATGCAATCATATGCCTCTTCTCAATGCAGTCTTTTTATCCTTTTCTTCTTTCCTTAGCTCCTGCCTCCTCCTCCCTCCACCCACAATGGCTTGCCCTCCCCAAACACACATATACAGGCTTCACCCAGTATGGCCACATTTTTCCAAAGACATTAAAGGAAAAGAAGTCTATTAAAAAAAAAAACCTATTGACACATGGTGACTTAATACTTCCAAATTTGGTATTTTGATAGCATGTTATCATTTTTTCTAAAGACCAATCTTAAAATCTTAAAGTGAGAAGCCTTGTTGTGGTCTTTGTTCTGCCTCTTACTGGGACAAAGTGTTGAGATAAGAACAGTAACTCAGAGATAAGACCTTCTGTTTTGGAGGCAGATGCTTTTGAGGACAAGAGAAGTTCGCTACACACATGACTTGGTACTGTGGCAGACAACAACATGAGCTGTAATCTGAGGACATCCCCTCAGCTCTACGTAAGGAAAATGCTAAGAGGGGGCTTTTAGCAGCTACCCCAAAACATCAGCCATCTGCGTGAGGGGAGGAGGGCAGGGCCGAACCCCAGGGCACCATCTTTGCTCCTCTCCCCTCCAGGAATGTGAGGACTGCCCTAAAGCAATGAATTGGCCCAATGGAAGTCCACTCTGAATCAGTCAAAAAAAAACTCAAGTTTTTTGAAGAAATAAAGCAATACACTCCCCTCTAAACTAGGAGTCAGCCAGGATTTTTTGTAAAGAGCCAGATAGTAAATATGTGAGTTTGCAGGCTATTCTGCCTCAGCTACAGCTGCTCAGCTCTGCTTTTACAGAATGAAAGCAGCCGCAAATATGCAAATGAATAAGCCTGGCTGTGTTCCCATAAAACTTTATTTACAAAAACAGGTGGTGGGCCAAATCCGTAGTTTGCTAATACCTGCTCTAAACAACAAGAAGTGACACTTAGTAATAATCACTGGCATCCGTTGGACAGTTACTGTAAGCCAGGTGCTGGTAATCTAGTGTGGTTTGTGCGTTTATTGTCCCCATTTTGTAGATGAGGAAACTGGCTCAGAGGGTTTAGGGAACTTACCCAATGTCACACAACTAGTTAGTTTGCTTCAAACTCAGATCTGATTCCAGAACCAGCCGCTTAATCATTGCTAGATGCCTTTGCTCCCGTCTGTAAGTGAGAAGGAAGTACTAGTAACCCCTGGCCTCAGAGCAAGGACTGTGTGTGATGGCATCATGAGCAATGACATAAGCCAGAGAGAAGTTCAGGCAGATTTTAAGAGAAGGAAGGAGGTCAGTGAGGCTGAAGTGAGAATCAATGGCCTTTGCCTAATGCAAGGATTTTCCTGTGCTCAAAATTGTATGGTGAGGTCAATGCTGTTTTGTCATTCCTTCCCTCAGTTTTTATTATGTAAAATTATTTTAAATCACCTCTCCTTGACATTGTATTTTGTGTATGCATGGGTGTAGTTGTTTAATTACTCACTATCAGTCTTTCCCACTAAAATGCATGTCCCATGAAGGCAGAATGTTTATGTTCTGTCCATTGTTGCATCCCCAGTACCCAGAGCAGAACCTGACTCAGACTAGGCACTCAATAAATATTTTTGCAATTAATAAATGAAATGTGACTCATAGCTACTTAGCCTAAATCCACAATTCAATCACAAACACTGATCAAGTGCCAGAAAGAAATTGGCCATGTGCTCTCCTCTGTTCTCAGGACCTTCCCACCAGGGATCCATCTGTGTCAGGATTAGTCCTGTGTCTAGTAGAGCTGAGGTGCAATATCACACTCTGCCCCTAGATGTCACTCCGTTCTAACATAAACACAGCATCACTACCAGTCAAAACTCAAAAGTGATGGTAGCCAAACAGCTACCATTCTTTGAGCATCTTCTCTGTGCCAGACTTAATCTTAGGTGCTTCCCATACTTCATCTCATTTTATTCTTATACCAACTCTGTGACTTAGGGATCACTGGTTCCACTTTAAAGAGAAAAAAACAGGCCTAGCAAAGTTAAGCAACTTGCCCAAGATCACCTTTAATAAGAACTAGAATGAGAATGAGGTCTTCTAATTTCAAAACCTGTGTTCTTTCCTTTATACCATAGTTGGAGAATACTATCTAATATGTGAGTTTCCCTGATCTCCCCCTCCCCGAGTCCCTGGCCATTTACAAATGAGAGAGGGCAAGCGATTTGTCCATGATCACACAGGTAGCAAGGAATGGAGGCAGGATTCTAACTTGAGTCCATTGAATTCCAAATCCTTCCAAATTCCACTGCCCCACACTACTGCACACTTCATATTTGAGCCTTAAAATGAGAAGGGCCTTACTTTATCTCATTTATAAGAAGGAGATTCTGGTACTCATCTTTTAAGGTCATCTGTGTCCCATGCAGGGCATGCCTGGATTCACAGAGAAGAAGCTGCTTGTGCTCAGTCTTGAAATCAGGGTAGACGTGTGCTACCTGGAAGGTGGGGGTAGGGCCTTCAGGGCTCAGGCCCAGCTGGGCAAATGCCTGCATTTGAGCATGTCCTCCAGGTCCTAAGCTCCTCCGGCATTTCTGCCTTTTGCCCCAGTTTCTCAAGGCTAGCAGGGAATTGCCTAGTTCTCCAGAGGGTGAGGCTTAAGCCGGGTTTCTGCAAAGCATCTTCAGTTCACTAGATCCTTCTTGCAAATCTCAAAGAGAGGGCTTTGCCAGTGCCCTGCCCAAGGAAAGTAGTTTTGGTAGATTCGATCCCTTTGGCAGTAACTCAGCAACATTTTCTCCTTGTTCTTTTCACATTCGGCCTCTGGAGTTTCTATTTCTCCTTTGAAAATTATTTTAATCGTTAAGAGCCTGACCTGATGATATTTCTTAAGCTTCTGCCTTAGTTTTGTTTATTTTTCCCTGAGTCTTTTCCAAGACTACTTCATCACATCAGCTTTTATCTGGGGGCTTGGGGGAATACACAGACATGCAATAAGTGAGATACAGGTCAGCTTTGACGGACAGTGTTTGTCCCCAGGCCTATCCCTATCAAACGATTTAAAGTGGGGTAGGAATCTCACAGTGTAACAAAAATATCCCAGGCTGCAAAAAGGGACAAGAGTTATGTTTCTTCTTTTTATACTCTTTCATGTTCATTCAACCTGTCAAACTTTTAAGTACCTACTGCATGCCAGGCCCTGTTAGGTGCTGAGGGTACACAAATAAATAAAACAGGTTTCCCTTCTGTCTGGGGCGCCCCAGTTTACTGAGGAAGGCAGACATGTGACAACTTAATATAGCATCTGGTTAGTGCTGAAAATGTTTGAGGGTGTGAACTCTGGAGAAAAGAGGAGCTTGGTTCAAATCTGGGCTTCAGCTCTTGTTAGCTTTATTACATTGAGCAAGTTACTTAGCTCTCATAAGCGTCAGTTTCTTCATGTATAAAATGGGAATAATAGCAGTAATTGCCTTTATATGAGATAATGCATATAAAACAACCTATAGACAGGCACAAAGTTCATTAAATGTTAGCTATCCTCGCTTATTCACTGTTCTTACTACTGTGATTGTGCCTGATAATTAAGTATGTGAACCAAATGCTGTGGGAGTAATTAGATGTGCTGTGGGAATTCAAGGGGACTTCATGGAGGAGGTGATAATTGATCAGGGTCTTTAAGGATTGTTAGAAGTTTGCCAGACAGAAAGAATAAGGTGTTGCAGACAAAAGAACCAGCACCTACAAAGACCCAGAGTGAGAATCACAGCTCCACCAGAGACTAGGAGTGGCCAGACTTCAGCAATGTATGTTTGTGGAGTGGCCAGGCCAAGCCTGGCAAGGCCTTGAATGTCAAGTAAGGGAGCTTGGCCAGCTTTATCGCGTGGATGATGAAGAGTCGGGAAGCTCTCCCTCACGCCTGCTCCCCTTCGCTGTGTCCCTCTCTGCAGATCATCAAGGACCAGAAGCTGCTTGTGATCGTGGGGGGCATGCTGCTGATTGACCTGTGCATCCTGATTTGCTGGCAGGCCGTGGACCCCCTGCGGAGGACGGTGGAGAGGTACAGCATGGAGGTAAGCCCGGCACCAGAAGGACCGAGGCCCACGGGACACGGCTCCCAGACGCAGGGACGGGAGGCTGCGCGGCTCCGGGACCACCCGGTGCCCCTTGGGGGTACCTCGTTAGTTCCATTTCCTTCCATGTGAGACAGATATTATTTCAGGAAGGCCAAATATAAGGTGTCGGGAAAGAAGTTAATATTAATATATGCAGGATTAAGGAGAAATGTTGGGCTGTTCAAAGGAGTTTATTCTCATACGTTGTAGAAGCCTCCATTTATACGATCCATCGTTTGAGAAATGACATTGCGTTTTTATCTCTCCTTTAAAGTGAGTCCTCTAAAACGTGCTCCTAGGGCATAAACGTTCTGATAGCTCCTTCTGGATACTATATGATTTTCAAAGTGATAAGCAATCTATTTCTTTTCATGCATTTTATATCAGATAATTGTTAAAATAAAGAACTGTACGTAAAAGGACTGCTTATATGTATAGTTTTACTTGTCTTGCATCCAGCCTTGCCCTGAACTCACACTGGTCTTCCCAGGATGCTCCAGATTAGGGAAGTTCCAGTCTCCATAAAGGTTGTAGTTTTGTTGACTTTCTCTTTGAGCAGTGAGACAAGCCATTGTTGGATGGAGCCAGGCTGCCCTGGAGTGTGCTGTTAGGTAGGATCTACATATAACGTAGCAAATTCTACTGAAAGAACGAATATCTCCATTTCTCTTGCTGCTTTATTAGGGAAATCTTTTAGTGGACTTCAGTGAATTCTTAAACTAAACTGGAAATTCTATGCATTGGGGACAGAGGTTTTTATCCTTCTAGACAAGAAGGTTTTCTAGCAAATAGGATGCTCAGCCTCATTTATTTCGAGACAGATAGAGGGTTTACTCAGCTCAGCAAGAAGTTATGCAATCAGAGCAGTGGCAGAGAATGCCATTTAGGAAAGAGATTTAAGACCGTGCCCTTCCGTCTCACCCCCTTCCACATGCATCCTGGAAGGAAGCAGGACTCCAGACAGACACAGCCAGAGCTGGCAGAGACGAGGGACCTGACACTGGCTGTGCCCGTGGGCTGAGGGGGCAGGAGCTGAGTCCACTGGAGCAGACAGACTGCTTCCAGAGGGGAGGTGACATCCAGTCACCATGCATTGTGCACAGTGGGCAACATAGCACCTGCCTCCCCACTCTATCACAACAGAATTCCCGCCCACCCCCAGCATTGAGAAATGCAGACAGGATGTCAACACTAGGAAGAGCTATCCTTGGCTAATGGGGCCCCTGAGCTAGGGAGAGCCTGGGGTAATGATGATATGGTGATAATAGCAAGCAATAATGATGATAAGAGTGGTGATGATGATGACAGCTGGCATTATGTGTTAGCTCATTTAATTCTCACAGCAACTCCAGGAAGTAGATGCTATCATTTTACTGATGAGGAAACAGAAAGCCAGGGAGGTTGTATAACTTGGCCCAGGTTACCTGGAAGGTTAGTGACAATATACCATTAGCTACCCTCTCACCCACGACCCCACCTAGCCTTCAACATGCGGACAGCCCTTTGCAGTCTTATGGGCTTTCCTGACCCTTTGTTCACTGGCCACAGATCTGGAAAAGGGTAGGGAAGGGAAATGTTTTCACATTCTACAGATGAGGACTAAAATTGGAATCACGGGCAGACCAAGGGCCCAGGATATCAGGCGCGGGGAGCAGGGTGAGTCAGGCAGAGCTCGTGGGAAGGCCTGGAGCTGGGCCGGTTGACAGAGACCTGACCCAGATGGCCCAGTGCAGAGCCCAGGGGCAGACTGGGAGGCCGAATGGCTGCCACCTCCCCCGCAGGTGAAGGTGGGGAGCTGAGAGTGCACAAGGGGTCCCTGAGTCGCCCGCTAGGGTGGGGAGAGGAGGCAGGGCTGGAGCCAGCCTGAGCCGGTAGACTCTGGAAATGGAGAAGCCTGTCCCCATGGGCCATTTAAACTAGATAAACCTGTGCAGGCCAGTTTGTGTAACTGACGGTTTGCTAGTGTGGATCTTGCCTTTCTTCCTTCTGTTCTGTAATAAGTACTGCTGCTGCCGACAGCTCTGTGCAGAGAACCCTAACGCATTCCAGACCTTCCAGGGCAATGGTTCTCACACTGAGGAGCCCTGCGGTGCCCCAGAAGTGCCTTTCTGTGCAGATGAGGAAACTGAGCCTGGAAAGGGGGAGAGCCCTGCCCAGGGCCACCCACGTTGTCCCAGGCAAGGCCCAGATGTGCTGTCTCTGTGCTTCTCTCGGTGTGTGCTGAGATTTCTCCCTGAACCATTTCTGGTAGGCTCTTCTTTTTCTCTTCTTATTTTAGGGTTGGCCTGTCGCTTGTTGCCATGGAAGCAGAACCCTTTGATCTGTCCACCCACAGCCCTGTTTACTGTCGCTTTTCCACCAAACAGCGCTGAGCTGTCAGTTGGTTTCTTGCAAACCCGCCACTGTCAGCCATGCGGTGCGGTGGTTGAGCAGTGTGCCCAGGAGCTGGGGTTCCTGAAGTCTCCTTCAAGGGGCTCCTTGCCAGAAAGCCTGAGTTGGGGGGAGAGGTGACCAAAGATTTTTCTAACCTGTCCTCTCCTCCCCCATACCTACTTCAGACACTCTGCTCTGACTCTCTGAGCATCTTAGGTTTCCATGCCTACACCTTGCTCTGTGTCACACTTGCAAGCCTTTGCCCATGCCGCACTCGCTTCTGGAATCTTCTCTGCCAAGTAAAGGACTTAAGTGGAAACACGTCCCTGTGTTCACTGGCTCTGCCGAGGTGAGCACCTGCCCTCCTGGCTCCCTTCCCTTCCCCAGCACCCACCAGGACCCAGCGCTCTGCCCTGTCCATCCCTGCTGGGCACAGCTCCGCCCCACTCCCGCTGGCACACCAGCCTCTCCAGGACAGGCCCACCTCTGAGCTGGGCCACCTCTGAGCTGGGCCACCTCTGAGCTGGGCCACCTCTGAGCTGGCCCCTGTGTGCCCAGCCCAGCACCCACAGCATCTTCCGTGAGAAGACAGCAGTGATCATGCAGCCATGGCCCGTGCAGGGTAGCCGGGGAGGGGACTAAACACACAGACACATTAGCACTGTTACTTCAGATCCTTATAGATTCTGATAGCAGTCAGAAGTAAATAAACAGGACGAAGGGCTGGAGGATAACAGGAAGTGCCCGTGGTGGAAGAGATTCTCCCTGGGAGAGGGCACTGCGTGTTAGGGGAATGAACATCCCCTGGAGCCCCCAGCCCAGCTCCACATCCAGAAATATTCATTTCTGGGTCATAAATATTTATATAGCATTTGTCATGTGCCAGGTACTGTACTAAATGCTTTACAAGTATGAACTCATTTAATCTAATCTATATGATAACCCTGCGGAGTGGGAGCTATTATTGTCCCCATTTTATAGACGAAGAAACTGAGGCACAGAGAGCTTCAGTGACTCACCCAGGTCACTCGGCCAGAGCCTGGACTCCAACCCAGGTGGTCCGCTTTTAGCCATGAGGCGAAGGGAGGTCCTGAATGCTGGTTTTACCACCTCTTCTGGCTTTCAGGGGCTGCTGCACCCAGCGCCCTCGGAGCAGGCTGGCCATTTGGCTGTGGCCCTGGAGCCCGACCATGGCCTGCAGGCCGCTGCCAAGACTCCAGCTGTGGCTCCGCACCCCCAGCCTCCGCATGAGCTCCAGACTGATCCCAGCCTCACTCTCATTCATTCAACAAAATTGAACAAATGCCTAGTGTGAACCAGCTAAGTGTCAGGCCTTGTGCCGGGCTCTAGAGAGGCAGCCGTGAAAAAGACGTGGCCCTGCCTTCAACACCCCTTCAGAGCAGGGGGGAGACAGACGAGCCGTGGCTAACTCACACCCTACATATGCAGCACGGTGTGCTGGGGAGAGTGCGGGGCGCTGTGGAGCTGGGGAGGGGCACCCATGTGGCCTCAGGGGGTCAGGGAAGGCTTCTCAGCTGAGAGCCAGGGAGGCGTGAGCAGGTGCAGGAAGGGGAGGGACACTCAGGCAGAGGCTGTGCATTCCAAGAGTAGCAGCCTGTCACGTTAACAAGTGCCGGCAGGACATGGGGCAGTAGAACGCTACACACAGTGGCGAAGCTGCTACACGGGCACAGCCACTTAGAAAATAATTTGACATAACCTCAGAGATGTAGCCTCCCTCCCCAGCCCAGCAATTCCACTAGGGCACATCCCTAGAAGGTGTCACTGACGTGCCCTGGAGACCCAAGCGTGGGTGCTCATGGCAGCACTGTCCATACAGCCCAAAACCATGGAATCCCAGACGTCCCACGGGAACGGAATGGACACACACGTTACGATATTTTCGAACAGGGGAAGGCTGTACAGCTGTGGAAACGAACAATCCGCAGCCAGACACATCAGCCTGGGCCTAGCCCAACCACACGGCAGTGAGCAAAAACAGCACGTCACACAGGGATACCCACAGTATGTTTGCACATACTTAAAGTCCAAGCACTGGAGAAACCAAACGGAATACTATTTAAGGATATATACATAGGTGGTAAAAACGTAAGAAAAGAAAAATAGGGCAATTGTTAATATTAACACAGAGTTCAAGGCTGTGATCGCCTCTTGGTGAGGGGGTTAGGAAGACACCATCAGGAAAAGCACACAGGGCCTGTAAGTTCCCGGCAATTATTCTTCGAATTGTACACACACATTATATCTACTCTTCGGAAAGGATGATGTATATCACTTTTGAAATTTATTTATACTTAATAGACTTTATGTTGTAGAGTAGTTTTAGGTTTACAGAAAAATTTAACGAAGGTACAAGAAGTTCTGATGTACTCCCCACCTCCCAGCCCCATAGTTGCCCCTATTATTAATCTTGCATTGTCTGGTACATTCGTCCAAATGGAGGACCAATATTGATACGTTATTCTTCACCAAAGTGCATAGTTTATGGGAGAGTTCACTCTTTGTGTTGTACAGCTCTGTGGGCTTTGCCAAATGCATAATGTCACATATCCACCATTGTGTCA